GAGGGAGAGAGAGAGAGAGAGAGAGACTTTTAACATCTCTTTAATCACCAGAAAACATCAGTTTTTTTTTTTTAAATATATAAAAAGTCAAAGTGTACAGGTATAAAAAATATGAGTCAAAAAAACTGAAAAAAATAACAACCCAAAAGAAAACATCATGTTTCCGTATCAAAAAAAAAACAAAACCAATAAACACATCATATAATCATTTTCATACAAAAATGTTTAGAGATCCATCACAATCAACTTCACATATGCAGTTATTAATGCCCCACCTGTATTTAAAGGTCTCCATATCCATTATTAAATTGTAAAAAGCAAATTCAACCTTTAAACGTGATTTTATCAAACCCCTAAAAATCAAAGTAACATCAGTCTGTCCCATTCCAACAATCTTATTTTTCCGTGACAGCCAAATAGCCAACTTTGCTTGGCCAAAAACAAAATTCACTAATACAAGGGTCTCCCTTGTGGAATACTTATATTTAGGACCATAAATAAAGAAAACTTTAGTAAAAACCTCCCCTAATTCACGGCAGCATTCTTCTAAAAAACAAAACAGAGGAACAAGCCTTTCACATTCAGAAAATAAATGAAAAACTGTTTCCGATTGTCCACAGAAAGGGCAACCCTCCCCTACCTGTGGATCAATGTGTGCTCTGTGTCTGTTCGTAGCTATTATACCATGCACAATCCGCCACTGCAGGTCTCCAGACCGTTTCTCAATGGGGGGTTTGTACAAGGTCCTCCAACTACCTTTGGGTGAAGAGCCTGACCCAAAAAAATCCAACCACTTAGACTCCTTCACACTCTCCAGAGTATGACAGTGAAGAGCCTTTACACACATCACATATAGTTGCTTCTTCCCAACAGCACTGAATTGTCCCGACTGCGGTGATGCAAAGGATAGGATGTTGCCTTCTGCTTCTTGCCACTCGCCATTTTCTGCAGAAACCTCCAGGTCTGGGAAGGATAATACTTCCTCCCCACCAGGTACAACCAGGGACAAAACTAGTTATTGAACAGAGCCCTGGTGCCTCCAGGGCCACTGCTATGTAATAATGCATCCACCCTTCTCCTTGAAAGGGTTCTTGTCTTCTGGGACACCTTTGACCAGCGGGTCTTCAGCAGACAACCCCTCAACAAACGCGATGATCTCTGGGGCCGTTGTTGAGACCTGAGAAGAAGAGTCAGGAAAGACGCTTTAAGTTTCATTGCTCAGAATGGGAATCAAATACGTAAGCAATCAGAGGATGCAGCCAAAAACTCTGTAATCTTTTAATCACACTCACGTCATTCCAAAACACAAAAGAAGATGTTTTAAAGAATGTTAGTAACCAAAGAGTTTCAGTTCTCTTTGACTTCGGTCATATGGGCAACAATTACAATGGAAGTCAATGGGAACCAAAACGGTTTGGTTTTAAACTGTTCTTTAGCGTAATGCTCCCAGAAGACAGAAAGTCGTACAGGTTTGGAACGACATGAGGGTGAGTTAATGATGACTGAAAGATTATTTTTGTCACCGCAATTCGAGGAGTGTTCACTTCCAGCTTCAGCTGATCCAGCTCCATCTTTAGGATGTCTTTATCCGACATGTCCCGAGCCATCCTGTCTGTCCAGAGGACATCAATGAAAGAGGAGAGATGTGAAATTAAGCTCAATATTCAATCTGAAAATGTCTCATGAACAATGCTTGTGCACTGTACACAGTGGTAATCTAACAACATATTCATCCCATAACATTTTTAATGATTTAATCCATGAAAAACAGATTAACTAGATTACATAAAGATAAGAAATTAGATTTTTTTTTTTAATGAATTAATGTATTTAGGTTGATTCAGTGATGTTATATTATATTTCTGATTTGAATAAAATCCCAGTTTATTTAGATGCTATTTTTAGGCAACCATTTTTGTCAGTGTACTGTTAAAAGCACTTAATGTAAAAAAAAAAAAAAAATGAAACCGAAAAAAACCTTATACGCTTAAAAGCTTCTAAATGCTCATAAAAACAATATGCATTGTTCCACATAAACTTTAACACATATGAAAAAGCTGGGCATTTATAGAGAAGATAAAAGGACTGTAAAATGACTGGAAACCACATTGTGAAAAATGATTTTCTAAATGTGTTAAAGATTATTGCCGTATGTTTTACAAGAAAGTCCGATTTCAGCGTTTCTGCTTAAAAATGTCGTGCTTATTCATAATATTAGTTGCCGTTTCTTTGTAATTATTTGTGAAATTTACAAGCAGTTGCTTCTACGCACTGAAAAAAATGTGCACACACACACACTCACACTCACACACACAGATACACACACACACACACTCACACACACAGAGACACACTCATACAGACAGACACACACACACACACACACACACACACACATACACACACACTCACGCACT